CTCCCCTTTGTTAAGAACACCATGTAAACAGAAAAACAGCCCTGCAAGTTAAGAAAGGCTTTCTTCCTGCAGTGTTCGTTTTCTGTCTGCATTGAGGGTTTTTCATTTTTGTACAAAGCTTGAACCTATCGCCAGCAATCCACAATGGTTCAGTCCATTGCTGTGGTGGAAAGTGCTGTCAACGTGCAGCTGACTTATGACGACCCTGTAGGGTTTTCAAGGCAAGAGATGTTCAGAGGCCGTTTGCCCTTGCCTGCCTCTGTGGAGCAACCTTGGACTTCCTTGGTGGTCTCTCGTCCAAGTACTAACCAGGGCCGACCCTCCTTAGCTTCTGAGATCTGGTGAGATCCAGATCAGGGCAGTTCATTGTCCTTCCAAATGCTACAATCACATTCGCCAACAAGGCCTCAGATTCAGAGTTTGAGCGGTCACATCATTGCCTATTGGTCATTCTGCCCACCACATTGTTTATGGAGAGTCAGTTTGGTGTAATGGTTAAGTGCGCGGACTCTAATCTGGGAGAACCAGGTTTGATTCCCCACTCCTCCACTTGCATCTGCTGGATGACCTTGGGCAAGCCATAGTTCTGGCACAGCTGTTCTTGAAAAAGAACAGTTTCTGTCAGTGCTCTCTCAGCCCCACCTACCTCACAGGGTGTCTGTTGTGGGGAGGGGAAGGGAAAGGAGTTTGTAAGCCCCTCTGAGACTCCTTTGGGTAGTGAAGGGTGGGGAATAAATCCAATCTCTCCTCCTCCTCCTCCTCCTCCTCCTCATCTACCTCACAGGGTGTCTGTTGTGGGGAGGGGAAGGGAAAGGAGTTTGTAAGCCCCTCTGAGACTCCTTTGGGTAGTGAAGGGTGGGGTATAAATCCAATCTCTCCTCCTCCTCCTCCTCCTCCTCCTCCTCTTCTTCTTCTTCTTCTTCTTCTTCTTCTTCTTCTTCTTCTTCTTCTTCTTCTTCTTCTTCTTCTTGCTAGAGAGTTAAATGCATTTGAATGTTCTCTGAGAGAAGAGTCTATAATAATGGGGGAGTGGACTGCTGTTCATCACCAATGCCAACTTCTCCAATACTCTCCATTGCTTCCTTTATCCAGGTTCCAATGACACATTGTCTAAGACAGTATCACTGCTGAATGCTGCTGGGAATGTGTGGTGACTGTACTGTATATTTGTTAACAAATACAAACGGTGGTGCCTTTGGGGCATAACAAGGGAAACATGGCTACCTCTCCCCCTTTCTTTGCACCTTCTCACCCACAAATTCACATCCATGAAATTTCCTGTATTGATTACGCCCATGCCGATGATTCCCAGGTTTGCTGATCTTGTTCTGGGCCAGTTGATTACCAGTCATGCTAAAATAGATTGTGTCTCTTTGAACAGTTGGCATGTGACATCCCGTCAGCAATTTAAGCTCAATCCAGCTAAATTACATTCTTAACCCCTCTCCGTGCATTTTGCTCACTTCAATCACAACGGACAACCGAGCCATCAGGATTTGTAAACTCAGCATCAGAGAGCCACCTTTGCCCTTCGCTTCTCTCTCCAGACCATCGCTTTCAGGCTCTTTCGGAATCTTGTCAACTCATCTGGCAATAACCTGTAGTCATTCAGAGAGCTAAATCATCTTGCCCAGGACTGCCTTGCATTTCGATGACTGCTGGGAACACTCTCCTCTTGCCTGGACGGCTGACCAGTGGATGATTGCCTCACTGAGAATAAAGCCATTCAGAATGCTGCTGCTAAGATAATTTCCCTAGGTTCTCTTCGTGACCTCAGCATCTTCTCCACTAAAATAAACATAAGCTTTTCCCAAGGCCATATTTGCACACTTCCGGGTGACTGCAGAAGTTGGGCATTGACATTCCCTTCCATGCAAGGGTGGATGGCTACAAAATATTAGGACATGCATTTATGTAAAGGTTACAGAGAGACAGAAATGGCAAAAAAGCTGCAATACTGTCAGTGCAATCGTAAGCAGAGTTAAATGCTTCTAAGCCCATTGTCTTCAGAGGCCTTTGAATGGTACAACTCCATTTAGGATTTCACTGTTAATCATTTACTGCAGCAAACATCTTAGGCTGATAGATATTGGTATTCATGCTCCAGGAAGCACCCTCTGCTTATACCAGACAAGATAGATTTTTATGAATGCATTTAGGGAATTCTTCATGTCATTCCATGAACGATCGGCGGTTCGTTGGTCCCTGTTTCATCGTGCTATGTAGCATAGTAGTATGAATGGTTACCATTCACATCTAGAAGCAGTTTATGTAAACATACATTTTTCTAAACAATTACCGATTCACAGCTTCTCATGATCATTCTTGGCCCTTGGGGAGTGAATCAGAAAGCACATCCTGAGAACTGCACAGATATTGGGGGATTCCACATTACCCTTTTAAAACCGTTACTGTACCATCTTGGAATAAACTGGTACAGGGACGGCCATTTCACACAGCCTTTCCCCTACCGGTAAGGAGCCATCTCTGAAGCGTTTTGTCATTTCAGACTGCACCGCTCTGTTTTCCCGCCCCTTTTCGCCCACGTGGGCGATCTCCGTCTTTTTTAAAAAAAGGTTCTTTTAAGAGCGCTATGGCACTGTAACACAACCCCAAAACAGTGCAATAGCGACCCCATTGGGATGCCTGGACCACTGAGATACATGAGATCACTACATCTGCCACCTGGAGACAAGTGGAAGCTCAGGCACACACACACTTTTGGAATTGATTTCTGGAACGTTAGGAAGGGAGGAAGTAGGGCTGCCAAGTCCCCCCGGGGGGTGGAAATCCCCCCACCCCAGAGGCCCGTTCCCCGACGCCAGGGAATCGGGCCCTGGGGGGAACCCCGCCCCAGCGTGCACATCACAGGGAAGTGACGTTATGACGCCGGACACGCTGGGGCGGGGCCACGGCTATACAAGGGAAAACAAGGGAGCCCCCCGCCGGCAAGGTAAGTGCCACTTGGCAACCCTAGGAGGAAGGGGTGCTGTCTGGGTTTGTAAACTGTCCTGTTCCCCACCACCACCTTCCCTCACCATGACTGCACTCTCTTTCAGGCTGCCTGGGATTTAAACTCTTCCTTTAACTTCTTTCCTTCAGGCACCATAAATCAAACTTCTTCCCCCCACCCCATGCAGTATTTAGGGATAGGACGGCTTTTCGTTCCCCTCTTTACCAGCCTCCATTTTATAAGTAGCTATCTTGCCCAAGGAGAATTCCAGGAACTCAAAACCTGTGGCAGGATTAAAAACAACAACAACCCTCCCACTTTCCCAAGCAACACTACCTCCTTCCAGCCTTGCAAACAGCATCCTCCTCTTGATGGCCAGCATATAGAGATGCCATGCTCCAGGTGGGACCTGGGGATCTCCTGCACTTAAAGGCTACAGCTTATCTCCTGCCTACAGATATTAGTTCCCAGGCATAAAGTGAATACTGTGGGCTCCATGGCATTGTACTCCATTGAAATCACTGTTGTCCCCAGATGTAGTAATTTCATGTATTTCAGTGGGCCAGGCATCCCAATGGGGTCACTATTGCGCTGTTTTGGGGTTGTATTACAGTGCCATAGTGCTCTTAAAAGAATGTTTTAAAAAAAGACAGAGATCACCCGCGCAGGCGAGAAAGGGCAGAAAACCTCGTCATCTGAGGAAGGGCTATGGGGGCATTTTACACAGCACCCCGTAGCACTTCAGGAATGGTAGAAGAAATTGAAGACCACTTGGAAGCAGTTGGCAGGTAAAACGGCTCAGGAACACTTCCCGAATGGGACAGAAGCATTTGTGTCTGAAAGGGGAAATAGATTCCGTCAGGGAAGCATTACTAAAACGATTCTGTCTGAAATGACAGACATAAACCGTTAGTGAACAGTTCCTGAAACGGAACATATTAGCTGTCTGAAATTCCCCATTGGTAGAAAAAAATTTGGGCCACTAACAATGTAATCCTAAACAAAGTTACACCACCTGAAGCCCAATGAAGTCAATGGCCTTAGAAGGGCATAACTCTTTCTAGGGTCAACTGCAAACAACGTACTGTGGCATATCGGACTGAAGCACCATACTGCGCTTCCAGTTCGGTCTTCAAGGAGCATCCAAGGATTGGACCTGAGAGCCTAGGTCTTAGGGGGGCTTTATAGAAGTTAGTCTCAGAGCCTTGACAGGATCCAGGAGGAGGTGGACTGCCACCAGGTCCAGGCAGATGCAAGGTGGGACCAGATCCCCGAGCAACAGATCAAATGAGCAGGAAGATGGCCAACTGACTTGATCACAAACGGGATGTACAAGAAGGACACCGTGAGCCCAGCCAAACAGAGGTAGCTATGCAAGAACAGACTGAAGGAAAGGAAGAGAGATTCAAAGTTTCAGAAGTCCCAGATGGTCTATCAAACATCTCTGATACAGAGCTGTTGTACAGCATTCCAGCGGCCTCTTCCTGCTCCCCCCCCCCTTCAAGGGCTGCTGGCATGCTTTAACCCATGAAACCTGGACAACTCAGTTACAGTATAGCTGTAGTGCAATCTTGGCTGCGAGCTGCAGGGCAAGTGCCAAAGGGTGCCTGGCCTTCAGATCTTAGCCTGAGGGTCATAGCCTAAAGCCGCAGGAAAATCTGTGTGCAGACAGAGAGAGGGAGGGAGAGACAGACAGAGAGCCTCCTCCTCTTTTGTCTGTCTCTGTTGTATTTTTCTATTTTCCTTTTGTAGTGTAAGCTGCTTTGGGTCCCCATTGGGAAGAAAAACAGGATATCAATGAAAAAGTAAATAAATAAATGCAAGTTTTGCTGCAGGTTCTGAGACGTCTCCATCAGAGGTCCAGCCCATCTCAAAATCTACGATTCCCAGGGTACCCTGAGGTGAGAGAAGGACTGCTGAACCAAGATAAATTGGTATGGTAATCTCAGCTGCACCTCATTCCAGCTACAGCATGCGGCACCGAGGAATGAGTCTGGACAGAAATGGACATCCCGGATGAAAACTGAAAGAGAGTAAAGCAACTCACGTTGAATGTCAATGGTGACGGAGGTCTCCTTCCCACTGGGAATGGCCTTGTTGGTGGCCCTGCAGACGATCGTCTGGCCGTTCTCAATGTCCGACGGGGAGACAAACAGCGTGCTCATGATGCTCTCTCTCTTGCCATCGCGGAGTATCGTCTGTAGGATTAAAGTAACAAAGCAACTAATTACAACTGTCCGTTGCCGAGAGATGGTGGCTTCCTTTGCCGAGCATGTTGTAGGGTGTTGGAGCTGGTGCTGGACTTGAATTCGAAGACCAGGGCTCAAATCTTCACTCAGCTGTTGAACTCATGAGTTGACTTTGGGTCAGGTATTATTTTGCAGACTAACCTACCTTATGAGGTCACTGTGAAAGTAGAAGGGATTAATTACCATCTATGTCACTCTGAGTTCCTTGCAGGAAAGGTGTGATACAAATGGATGAATTGTTATGGAAAAGCAATGTCAGGCACTAATTTATCATACCCAGTGGCCTTTGCAGTCCAGTCCAGGCAAGCCCCATCTCATCAGATCTCAGAAGCTAAGCGGGGCTAACCCTGGCAAGTAATTGGATGGGAGACCTCCTTGGAATACCAGAGTCAGGAAGACAGGGGCAGGCTTTATTCAGCCACCTCTCTGACTATCCTCGAGGCCCCCAGTAGCGGTCAGTCACCAGAGGTCATTATGATTTCCAGGTGCACACGCACTCATATACACATACAAATGCACATATGAAAAATACAGATTTTTTTTTTAAAAAAAAGAAATGTGTCTCAACAAAATTCATTTCAGTTTTAGGCTCAGAGGTCTTATGTTCATTGGTATATCTGTTTCTCCTGGAGCACACAATGAGCTGGCTATTCCAGACCCTAAACTTGACTTGTATCCATTGCAGCCTTACAGAGGGCAAACACCCCCTGGATGTCCCTTACATGAGTACACACAGAGGCAATTTCTGATACCTACTGCAAAACTGTGGAGCATCCTTCCTCACCAAGCCTGAACCTAGACAGGTTCTAAATATTTTGCATGGTATCCATATCTGAAATGGCATTTAAGGGATGGGTTTGGGTCTAGGCTGGCAGAAGTGCTTAGCGGGCACTTCTTGCTATGAGGTCTTTATAGCTCTCTATTCAGATGTTTAACATACGATGTGATGGTTCACACATACATGTTTCTCATTTAATAACTGCAGCATCCACTGGTGACTTGCATATATGAGCCACCCATATCATACACCATGTTGAAGCCCATAGAATAACAGATACCCAACAGAGAGGGATGTTTCACATATCATATGCTCTCCATTCAACCCAAGAACTCTTTGGATGACTTTGGTCAGTATTTTACAGCCTAGCCTAGCCCACCCCACAGGATTGTTGTGAGGGTAAAATGGGGTAACTGCTTAAGTACGTTGAGGGCCCATTCCTCAGAGCACATTCTGCATGCACAAAATCCTAAATTCAGTTTTCTAGTGTTGCCCGCTACAGAAAGAATTTGGGAGCAAGTGCTGGTCAGGATAGAAAATAAGGCTGGATGAACCAATGACCTGACTCAGCAGCATGTATACAAGTAATCAGTTCACAGGAGTACAGAAACCTGCCATATACCGGACCACTGGTCACTGTTGTCTAGTCAGACTGGCGGTAGATCTCCAGGCTCTCAAGGAGAGGTTTCTTACAGCATCCATGATCTGGTCCTGTTAACTGGAGATGTTGGGGCAGGGCCGTAGCCAGGATTTTTAAAGTTGGGGGGGCATTTAAATTTCTTAGGGGGCACTGGCTAATCAAATCAAAGGTAATTGCTGGAAGTGCAAGACAAAAATAGGTACTTTTTATCACGTATGGTGGACTTGCGAGAAAATAAAAAAATTCTGGAAAGAAATTCACGATATTATAACGCAGATAATGAAAATTAATTTACCATTTCAGCCTGAAATGTTTTTATTATGTAGCATGCCAGATGTATTAAAGAAAGAAGATGCTAATTTATGCACGCATCTGGTAACAGCAGCAAGAATGACATTTGTTAGATACTGGAAGAAAGAAGACTGCCCGACTCAGGAGGACTTTATAACAAAAATTTTAGATGTAGCAGATATGGACAATCTGACTTTGAAAATCCACGGAAGAGAAGATGGGATTTTTCAAAATAGATGGGGAAATGTTTACGAGTGGTTGGACTCGCGAACATAAAAGTCAAAAAATTTGTTTCGTGTATCCTGGATAAAATCTGTGTATAATCGGAAGGGGGCATGATGTTCTTTTAATGTTTATGCATGTTGGTGGTGGGTTGTTGAGTTTAAAATAAATAAAAATAAGTAAAAAAAATAAAGGTCATTTAATTAAATTTTAGGGGGAAATAGAGAGGTGCTGTCTGGCTCCACATGGCCACCGTAGCTGGCCTTTCATGCCAGACAGCTGAGCAGGGATACCTGGCTCCTTCCCCACACCCACCAACACTCAGGGGTCCTGTGCTGGATGGGAAGTCAAGGGGCCTTGCCAGTACGTCAGGGGGCCTAGCCCCGAGATGCTCCACTGTAACCACAGGTCTGTGCCGAGGACTGGACCTGACATCTTCTGTATACCGAGCAATTGCTCCACCACTGAGCCACAGCCTCCTCTGACTTTTCCATTTGTAGAAAAGGGGGCAGCAAGTCCTGCCATTTCCCCCTCCCATTTCAGACCCCCAGGTTGTCCCCTAGGTACACCCCCCGCCCCGGTCTTCTTAGCATCTCTTGTGGCTTTGGGCTTCCAAACATCACAGTGCATCCTGAAAGTCCTGGTCTGGGTAGAAGAAGAAAAAAAATCTTACTCTGCAGCCAAAACATCAAATTTATGCCACCCCCCACTGCCATTTGCCAGGTGAAGCACCCTGGCTTAGATTCCCTCCGCCCGCCCGACCGTCTTGGTGCAAAAGGGAAGGTGGGTCCTTCACAAGCACCTCATTTTGCTTCTCACTGGAGTCGGCTGCGCTTGCATGAATATATTAAATGTATCCTTATTACAGGGCGTGCTTTCGGTCGGAACATTTAATTCTGTCTAGTCCGACAGGCATTGCATATTAATAAAATGGAATATTTAAAAGCTCATTACGGCACCATGGTGAATGACACTTCCGTAGGAGTCGTGCAAGGGCTGAGGGCACCGGCGTCACTGGCACTTCAGTCTCAGCCCTTCACATTGCCAAATACCAAAGGTTGCCCAGGTGTGGTCACCGGGGAATTGGGATTTGAAAGTGTCGTCTTTGCTGTAACGTTTTGTGAGAGGAGGACAGACATGGCTCGATGCAGAATTAATCTCCTATCAGATCTGATCTGAATCTTTCTCTTGGCCTGAATGGGAGTGACATCAGGCTCTGGGAGCTGAGAGGTTCTGAGCCCACGCAGGCTGCTGTGCCTGTATCCCTGCTCCATTCAAAAGCCATTCTGGTTCAGTGCTGAAGAGGGGTGCCCATAGAAACCATGGACCCTGCAGGATCTGTTTTCAATGGTAACTCTCCAGACCACCTTTAGCAAGGTAATGATGTTTCCCCACGCATATATGACTTTATGCTCCTGGTCTTGACCAGCGAACACATGAACACATGAAGTTGCCTTATATTGAGTCAGACCTTTGGTCCATCAGTGTCGGTATGATCTACTCATACTGGCAGTGGCTCTCCAGGGTCTCAGGCTGAGGTCAGTCACATCATGTGCTGCCTAGTCCTTTTACCTGGAGATGGTGTTGATTAAGAACATAAGAGATGCCAATGTTGGATCAGGCCAAAGGCCCATCCAGTCCAACACTCTGTATCACACAGTGGCCAGAAATACCAGTGCCATCAGGAGGTCCACCAGTGGGGCCACGACATTAGAAGCCCTCCCACTGTTGACCCCCCCAAGCACCAAGATGACAGAGCATCACTTGCCCCAGAGTCCCTATCTATACCTTGTGGCTAATAGCCACTGATGGACCTCTGCTCCATATGCTTATCTAATTCCCTCTTGAAGCCGTCCATGCTTATAGCTGCCACCACTTCCTGTGGCAGTGAATTCCAAGTGTTAATCACTCTTTGGGTGAAGAAGTACTTCCTCTTATCCATTCTAACCCGACCGCTCAGCAATTTCATGGAGTGCCCACGAGTTCTTGTATTGTGAGAAAGGGAGAAAAGTACCTCTTTCTCTACCTGCTCTTTCCCATGCATAATCTTATAAACCTCAATCATGTCACCCCTCAGTCGTTGTTTCTCCAAGCTAAAGAGACCTAAGCGCCTTAACCTTTCCTCATAGGGAAAGTGTTCCAACCCTTTTATCATTCAAATTGCCCTTTTCTGCACTTTTTCCAAAGCTATAATATCCTTTTTAAGGTGTGGTGACCAGGATTGCACACAGTATTCCAAATGAGGTTGCACCATTGATTTATATAGGGGCATTATGATATTGGCTGATCTGTTTACAATACCCTTCCTAATAATCCCCAGCATAGCATTGGCCTTCTTTATTGCAGTCACACACTGTCTCGACATTTTCAGTGAGTTATCCACTACAACTCCAAGATCTCTCTCTTGCTCAGTCTCTGCCAGTTCAGACCCCATCAATGTGTATTTATATTTAGGATTTTTGGCTCCAATGTGCATCACCTTGCACTTGGCCACATTGAACCCCATTTGCCATGTTGACGCCCACTTGCCCATCTTTGACAGATCCCTTTGGAGTGCCTCACAATCCTCACTGGTTTTCACCACCCTGAACAACTTTGTATCATCCGCAAATTTAGCCACTTCACTGCTTACTCCCAACTCCAAATCATTAATGAACAAGTTAAAAAGCAGTGGACCAAGTACTGATCCCTGCGGTACCCCACTGCTTACCCCCCTCCACTGAGAGAACTGCCCATTTATACTCACTCTCTGTTTTCTATTAAGTAGCCAGTTTTTGATCCATAAACTGTTTTTATCCCATGATTTTTGAGCTTACTTAGGAGCCTTTGATGAGGAACTTTATCAAAAGCTTTCTGGAAGTCAAGGTAAACAATATCTATTGGATCCCCCTTGTCCACATGTTTGTTCACCCCCTCAAAGAACATTAACAGGTTTGTGAGACAAGATCTTCCCTTACCGAACCCATGCTGAGTCTGCCTCAATAGGTTTTGTTCATCTATGTGCCTACTAATTCTTTC